GGGTGTTTCACCAGATCGCAGTGATAGGTGGGGGGGTCAACCACCCCAAGGACCCCGCCGCGCAGGGGGGGGCTGGGGGAAATTCTGGGAGTGGGAGTCCACCCATCTTAAAGTTGCTAAGGTTGAGAAACATTGCATTAAACAGCTGCCATCTGCTATGAGACCATCTGCTCTGGATAAGTGTTTGGACACACCGAAGCTTCAACACTCTGACCAGCAGGCTTTGCACCGGGGTCTCAGAGGACCCCAAAATCAAGGGCAAGAAGCTGATGCAGCTTGGTCTGCCAAACATTTCAGACCGAAAGGGGGAGAGCTGTCTATTCGTGTGTGTCCCCCGCTTCCCTTTCAAAGCAAACAAATTTTCTTGCATTTCGCTAAGCTAACAGGAAGATGACCAGGCCAGGAATGCTAATTTTATTCAGTTTATACAATCAGCAAGGGGTTTGTTCAGCAAGGGGAGCGTTCAGACACAGAGTCCGAAACAGTCCAGGTGAGCAAAGGGTGCAGTTTATGGCAGAGGGTCATCCGTCCCTTTTACCAGTAGAAAACTGACTTTTTTGTATTCAGATGCAAACACAGCTGTTTCATCTTTTATCCCAGGTCTTTTTTTTAGAGATCAATCTTGCAAATAGAGAGAGAGAAAAAATCAGTGCTTACTCCCTCCCCCCCCCAGTTGTTTATTGACCAGCTTTGCTTGTTCAGCTTGTCTTAATTAGGTTCAGGCTGTGGGCCCATTGGCCCAAAATGTCAAGCTGTGCTTAGAGCTAAACCCGGTTAAGTCCTTTCGCCAACGGTGTTGCTCCTGAAGATACGAAAACCGTAGCCAGCATCACCTGCCTGGCGTCCCCTCTGCTGTTGGCCGATTTCTCTCTCGCCTTGGTGGCTGGCAGGCCCAGGGGTTGGAGTCCGGGTGGGTGGTCGGGGGAAGGCTGGGCGTTGGGGATCCCTGCTGCATTTCCCAGGGACCTGGGGGGAGTTGAAAATATTGGCAGGAGCCGGAGAGAAACCTGGCTGGAGGAGCCCCGGTTTCTCCCTGCTCCAGCTGCTGAGGTCTGCGTCTGGAGGCTGGAAGGGAGTACCGGAGCCCCAGAGGTCAGCGGGCAGCCAAGCCGCTGCACCGCAGCACCATTTGATCTGTGGACCTGGCTGGTCGTGAAAGAAGGAGGGGGCAGACCTGGCTAGTCCCGCAGGAAATTCCAAAGCTGGGTTTAGACTGAGAAGTCCCAAAAATATTCCAGAAAACGGCAATGGCAAACCATTTCCATACGGTTGCCCCACGACGGTTATTTTGATGCATCCCTGAGCTCAGTTCAGAGGAGATGCTGCCTTCAGCCCACACGCAGGTAGTGGCACCTGCCGCTTTTGGCTGATCTGAGCAGGGTCTGACGTACTTGGATGGGAGACCACCAGGAGGTCCAGGGCTATAGGATGGCTGAAAGTCAGTGGTGTCTGCATATAAAGAAGGATCGGGCTTTGATTGCAATTATGGCTATGTGCTTAACCTTTTTGATCCTTTCCCTACAGGATGGAAGGAAGGAAGGAAGGAAGGAAGGAAGGAAGGAAGGAAGGAAGGAAGGAAGGAA